TATAATATAAATTAGTGTAGTATTATTAAACTAATTAAATTGTGCCAAATAATGTTGTTTAATAATGTTGTTTAATACTTGTGTAATAATGGTGTTTACCTCTTACCGTCTGACCTGTCTGTTTATTATTACTGTTTTTAACATTAATTTTGTATTGCAAGTATTAAAAAATGTTAAATATACTATTTGTAAAATTAAAGTAGTATAAACTAATAATAACTGCTTTACTTATTTCTTCAATAGTTAATAGTTGAAATAATAAAGGCTGTTGTTGTCAAATTTCTTGGGGAAAGAAAATTGTTATTGCTTGTAATATTGCTGACATTTTAACTAATGGTAAGCATATTTTGTATTGCAATGGTTCACATTCTTTTTTCTTTTTTTCCATTTAATGTATTAATAATAATTTTTTATTTTATGATTGTGATAATTATTTTTTATTTATAAAATTTTAGTGTGATTCACTACATGAATACTTATGCTAAAGTTTATATGGTCCACAAGTTATCTTTAATAAAACAGAATATGATGTAAGGAGTTGAAGAGGTATCGAAATGGATGTTCAACTCTTGATCAGTACATTTGTTTACTATTTGTTAGATTTAACATATTCTTGTTTTGGGCGGCTTCTGAGATGTTAGCAAGATATTTGAGACTTTTTGCAATTGGCTTTATTATCTAAAAAATGCATTTTTCTTCTGCAATCTTTTCAAAGCAATGCAAATTACTTTTGAATTTATAAATTTTATTAAGTTATTTTATTCAATTATTTTGTAAATAATTTATTCAATTGTTTTGTAAATAATTTATTCAATTATTTTGTAAATAATTTATTCAATTATTTTGTAAATAATTATATTATAAATAGTATAATATAAATATATTATGATATGAAATATATTTTATGGATAATTTTTATTTTCTTATTACAACTTTTATTGACAAAAAAATGTTTTTTTGTTAAGTACTTTGTGCGAATAGTCATGCAGAATATGCGTTTCTTTAAAAAGATAATTTTCATTTTACATAACGGTAACATAACGGGTAATTACCCGTTATGTTAGGTTTTCAACATAACGGTAACATAACGGGTAATTACCCGTTATATAACGGGAGTTTTCCTCGCACATAACGGTAAATTAGCGTTATGTAACCGTTATGTTTAAGGCAATTTTGCTATGACTAAACATAACGCTAAAACCGTTATGTTATTTTCATACATGTTAAGTATTAAACATAACGGCAATTACCCGTTATGTGCGAGGAAAACTCCCGTTATGTTTTTTAAAAATATAACGGGTATTTTATTTACTGTGTACTACATAATAAAATACATTGCACAGTCATTTTGATGGTCGTAAATTTCTTTAGCACACTCATTTTTATATATTTTTAGACTGTTTACTGTTTGATTCCTGTCCCAATCTAACCTAGTGGGTTCAAAAAGAAAGGACCGCGCTGGAAACATAAGGAGGTGAAAAGGATCAGCCCTTTTTGAATTAATAGTCGGTAAGTCTAATGTGTTCCACTCAGCTAATCAAGTTTCGTTTGCTTTTTTATATTACATTCAAGCAAGAGACTGTTTTTTATGTTCACTTGTTTTTTAGAAGTCGTAACCAGCTCGTATAAAAGGATTTTTCGACGTGAAATAGTTAATTTTATTCAGCAACGCCAAGAAACAGAGCTCGCTTAAGAAACAGAAAAGAAAGAGAAAGATGAAAAAATATTCATCGTAAATAGGACTTTTAAGACGTTTTTTCAAAGTCTTTTTTCCCACTGGGGTAGTTCTAGGCATATGGGTCAAGATAGGATTGGGTTAGCTTTAATTACCTACACTTTTTGCTTTTCATCCTCATATGGCACCAGTATCAACATGCTAATTTGAGCCTATTACGTGGTTCTAAGTTACCTTTCTTGAACTACAAAATTACTGCGCACTTGCCTAAAATACGTGATTTCTCCACAGGCCCCCAAAAATGTAAAAAACAACTTTTTTTTACCAAATGTAAAAAAAGTTATTTTTTACATTTTTGGAATGAGGAAGACTTTTCTGATAATAAATAAAAAATTTTGGGAGATGTGATACTGATCAAATTCTTGATTCTCAACAAAGCAATTACAACAGTAAAAATATTAATAATATACAGTTATGAACTAGAAACAAAGCTATACCCTGACCACTTGATTTGAAAAGGACAATGGCTCTATTTGACTAAAACGTTCATCAACACTATGGGTAGCGTGGGTTTATAAAACAGAATAACCATAACCTTTTTTCGAAAGAACTCATGAATATTTGATTGTGAACAAAGAAATACTGATGTTAGGCTATATACCTAGACTACTAAGTTGGACGTAGAATTATTATATGCCGGTTCTTTTTTATTTATCTTTATCAAATCCACTTTCTTTATCAAATCCACATTCTTCCCTCTTTTACAAATCTTTGTGCAGTTTCTGCTTTAGGACCCTGAATCATGGTTTTGAAGACTGACCATAATTTTTTTACTTTAAGATAAGTGAGTAATAAACAATTGGGAAGTAATTGACGGAGCGGCCGTGGTGCAGTGGTAGTGCACTTGCTTCATAATCAAAAGATCCTTGATTCAAACCACACCTTTAGGCAAGTTTTGCGACATTGGTTAAGAAGGAGGCGTGAATAATCCAAAGTAGCGTTCGTTGTTGTTCAACATTTTTGTTTACCAAAGTATTACTCAAGCGCTGAGTTGGCTGTGGCAGGATTTGAACTCGTATCGTACAACTGTCCGGGTTTTAACTTTTCGTTTGACGGTCTAACCAACTGAGCTATCCAGCCACATCAGATTCTACACTTGATCTTAGCCATAAGGCCAATTGTCTGTTTACTAATCACTATTATGTTACCACTATTCATCACGGCTTTACCCAAAAAAAAAACACTTTGTCATCTAGTAACTTACAATAGTATTTGATTGATTATCACACTCACAGGCGACAATATTTAAATGATTCAGCTAAAAGCCAGTTTTCCATTATCCAATTAAAAAAAAAACTTCTGTTTCCTTGTTAGTCTAGATAAATTTTAGGTAGAATATATTGTAAATTATAGGTCTTGTTTGGGTTAGAAATTTTATGTGATCATAACTTTTGAACGCTAAGAGATTGTTTTATGAAATTTAAGATTTATCGATGAATGTATATTTATTTGAGAATAATAAAAAACTATTTTACCAACTTGTTGCTCTCACGTTTGGGACAGGTGCAGCTAAAATTTTAACACTTTTTTGTCCCCAGACTCTAATCATCGCAATTTTTGTAAAGTACCCTTATTTGGTATAGGTATTAACATATAAATGTTTGTAGTTTATTTCATGTCTAGAAGATAGCTATCTTAAACTTCAAAAAATGCTGCACCCGCCTTTTGACAAGAAGTCTCATGTGCACTTGTGCAAGTTAGTTAAAATAATATTTTTAGTTCCTCTATTATACTTTTGATAAAGTAAAATTAGGGCTTCGAAATCAAAAACGTTTTAAACATTTAGATTTAAACAAGTGTTTATGTTTTTATTAAATTTAAATTTTTTCAAAAAACTTTTGTCAGTAAGTTTATAAAAGTTGCAAAAGTAAATAATATTATTTATGAGAAAAAGTTAAGGAAAAAATATTTTGTATGGAATTTATTGCTCAATAGTTTAGAAATACTAATACCCGAACAATAAAACCAGTTTTATTTGTAACTAGCTTACATAGCTTAAGTAGATAAGAAGCCCTCTGATATGAGAGGCAAGACGCCTAAATTAGACGATTAAATTTTAAAAGCTTTTAATTATTATGACTTTAATTCTTATAAAATAACAGTAGCTAATTAAATGACTGATTTATTGATGACTTTTTACCAGCTAGTTTTAAAGCAAGCACAATAATTTCTAATTTAGCTTATTTAAGGTGTAGACTACGTTCATCTATTATATTTTGCCAATATTTATTGTCTGTCTATTTATTATTTATTGTAAATTTTGTAAGTTATGTTAGAAGAAAATAAGTTAAATGGCAAAATAAACTTATTTTAAAATAAAAAAACAAATTTGTGCTATAAAAGTACTTTGAAAATATGTTCGAACTAGCCAAATATCAAAATGACTTTTTTAGTTTTTCATTAATAAATGAGAAAAAAAAAAAACTCAAAATTTTATTCAAACGTACATTGTAAATATACGTAAATTTTATCCAAACGTTTATTATACATTCATAATTGATAAAAATGTTAACTACTTTATGTTAAAAAAAATAAATAATCAAAAGCAACCAATATACTGCAATTGTAAAAATAACGTTCAGCATTTTTATATTTTATTTTAAATAATCTTTAAGTTCTAAACCAAGAATTAATATCTATCTTATATATCTTAAATGTCTTAGATATAAATGTCTTTTAACGTCTTTTATTTAAAATATTAATTTCTTTTAACATTATTATTTAAAAATGCCTAAGTAGAAAGGTGAATAAAAACTTCTATGGGTCGGTTACTACTCACTAAGCAAATGAAACTTTCAAAACTTAAACGACACTATTCTAAAATAACAAACAAGGAAATTCAAATGTTAATAGTGTTTTGGGTATGCTTAAAGTAAAAAGACTTCAAATTTGGCAGCGCATTGTTGTTTAAACGAGGCTACGCAAAAAAGAACTTTTTAAAGTTTTATTTAAAGAAAGACTTACAAAAACTTTTCATTTTAAATTTAGTAAAATCTTTTACAATAAAAAAATTAAAATTAAAATTCTTAATAAAAAAAAATTAATATCAACCAATAATAAAGTTATTAGTTTTTCTACGTAACTAATCTTTCCGATTCCAAGGTCAAGTAAACTTTCAAAAACTAAATTAATTGCCAAAAGGGTTTCAAACGATATATTCTGGCTACGCCCGACTAGCTTTCAATAGAAGGTAATTGAAACGCTTAATTTAGCGACCAGTGTGAACGACAGTTTAGTTTAATTAAAAAATTTTACAAACATTCCAACTCAAAAATGTTAATAATATTTTTGCGTACTGATATTCAATGAGTTTTTGATAGCTTTTTGCGTTTTGGAAACACAGGTTAATATAGGTTTGCTCCAAAGACTTAGCAGATCAACCATTATAAATTTTTGAATTGCGTTTGTTTACTGTAAAGTTTATTTTAAACTGACAGAATCAAAAAAGAAAATTTTTTTAAACCATACAAAAGAAACAAAGCTTAGTCAGAGTTATATTTGGGACATTAATTCTTATAATGGTATGCGATGATGCGGTTATTAAACTGTAGATTCCAGAGAATATGTTTAGACAAAGAAGCTTGGTAATAAAATTTTTGGTTGTTGTTTTAACTGTGTGCGCATTGATATGCGCAAAAACAAACGTTAATCACAAAGCAAAACGAAAACGTAGCTACGTATATTACACACAAAGCAACATAACAGGAAATGAATTGATACTAAATAATAGAAAAAATAACAATAGTAGCAAAAACTTATTTGAAAATAATAGTTCGATAAAAATAAAGATAGACAATGGTACAATCACTTTTAACAAAAAATTAGACAAGTTGGACAAGTCTAAACTGTACAAAACTAAAAATAATAGCATAAATTACAATAGTGAGTCTAACAAATTATTAAAACCTAAAAAAAATAGAGAGCAATTCAAAAACTCTAAAGTGAACAGAACTTACAAATACAATACAGCTGTGAGTTTTGTTAAAGCTAAAACTTTTGAAAATGAAAGATATACAAAAAATCGAAAATATAAACGAAAAGCAGATCCACAATATTACTATGCTAGAGAACCAGATTCTTCGATTGAACCAAATGATTTGCTTCGCGATCAGGATATTCCTAGTCAAAACTCTGAAATGATATCGTCGAATCTTGGGCAAAACAATAGATTTTCTGCACCTCAAATGATGGAGAGAAAGAGCCTAAGAGATAGACTTTTGGAGGCACTAAATCGAAGAGTTCAAAGAGGACCTATTGTGCAAAACCATCCAAATATAATGCAAGATACTTCTGGATTAAATGAAATCGATCCTACAATAAATCCATCAGAAAGAACTTTTAGATTGCCTAACCAGATGGAAACTCCGTATAATCATTTAGGCAGAAATAGATTGTTATTTCAAAAAAAAGAGATAACTCCGAGACCTTTGCCCTTTATAAATCAAAGACATTTTACTAATTTGAGACCATTGCAAGATGACATGGAATTTGGATCACCGCACAATAACTTTTTTCAAGGAGATAGAATCCATGATACTGATAATAAGTTTTATCGAGAAGAAAGAGTGAACAGTTATGTGCCTTCATTAAACAGACCATACGCGAGTGATGGTTTGCAAATAAATCGCATCGAAAATCCGATTTTGCGAGAGCAAGTTCCTATACCTTCCGAAACAATACCATTGCATAGAAGTCCAATTTTTGCGTCACACGAAGACAGAGATTTTCTAAATGCTGATCACGGAGCTTCTTTACTTTCAAATAATGTTGGAAGTCTTGGAGATGAAGTTATGCCGTACGGTTCTTTAGGAGAAACTAAACCTGAACGTTTTATTTCTCCGATACATTCAGATGAAGACGATAGTCAAATGTACGGCCAAGCTGTAAATCAGGTAGGTTTACATACAAATTTAAAAACTATCATATAAAAGTTATTATATAAACCAGAATTGATAATGCTTCCCGGCGGAAAAGTAACATTTTGCCCAAAGACTAACTTTTTAGGGAGGGGAAGTCATGGGGCGGCGGCTTCGAAAACTTTTTTAAAGAAACATTTTTTTTGTCTTTGCCTCCAATGGCGTCCGTCTCCCAATTGGCGGCTGCAGACAGAGTTATTTTGGAGGCATAATGTTTTGGAGACCTACGCCAATAGGAAGACGAAGGCCAAAAGAAAGTTTGAAGGCAAAATGATTTGGACTGTCTCCAGTTGTTTCTTTCTCCCAACAGACCGCGGCCGCTGAATTAGAGAAGGAATTCATGACTCCCTCTAGAAGTAAAAAAAAAAAATAATGTTTCTTTTTAAGTTAACGAGGAATTTAAATATTAATCTATTAATAATAAATAATAGTTGCCCCTATCTATCTTATAATACTAATATTAAATAATAATATTAAATTATAATATAAATAGGGACAAATATTGAAAATTTGACATCAAAGTTTTGTTTTATGTGATTTATATATGCCAAACTTTATATGTTTGATTTATATGATTTACAAGCTAAACTTTTGATTATTTAAAAAAATTCTAATTTTTTCTGAGCGTTATTATTATTTTTTTTTAAAACTATGGAATAAATTGGAGTTTAATTTTCTAAACAATTGTTAAAAATTGGATATTTAACTTTCATGCCATAATCGAAAAAATTTCCACAAAAACATTTATAACAAGTAATTAAAATGTCAAATTTTGATCTAAGATTTTTTGAACAAGTCAACTTTCAAAATTTATTTTATTTATTTTATTACTTATCATAAATATAAATACATATTTTTAACAATTAGATATTGTAAAAGTTATTATAACAATTTTAATTGTTTTAATAACTTTTACAATATAGATTGATTAATAGATTGAATAACTTTTACAAACAGATTGTATTTTGCAAACAAATCAAAACAAAAAACGTTTTAAAGTTTTAAACGTTTAAATGTTTAAAACGTTTAAATGTTTAAAAATGACTTTAAAAAATTTAAAAATTTTAAATTGAGAATTTTAAACTTTTTAATTGTTTCAGTGATGTTTTTTGTTGCACGTAACTTTTTAGGCAGGCATTATTGATACTATATTTATTTTGGCTATTTCACCAAAAAATTCTATGTAGTTTATTTTGTTAACTTTTTTACATACAAATAATTTATAAACTTTTTTTTTTTTACAATACAAATTTTTTTAATACAAATTAATATATAAACTCCCAAGTTAAACTCTATTTAAATAGTTAGTGAAATTTTTTTTTAATTAAAAGAATGCCTGCCCAAACCTAAACCCTCAGTTGACGTATGTATACTCCACTGCGTCTATGCCTATTTATATCAGTCTATGAATGCACGCTGCACTACGATACTACGACTATATCAGTCGATGTATTTATGCATTATTGCACTTATTCTATGAAACATTAAAATATAAAATCAATAAGTATAATTTTTGATAAAAAACAATAAAAGGTTAAGAATAATGCTACCTCATAAGGTTGACTTTGTGACATCTAAGGAGCTACAACATCTTTAATTCAGAAACGTTCTTGATTATTATTATTTAATATTAAATTACTCGAGGAAAAGTTGTTGTTTTTATTGTTCACTTTTTTCAAAATTCCGACCCTCCCATTAATTAGAATCTTTTTGTTTATTAAATTTTATAACATTTGCAGCCTTACCGTTTATTTAGATCCCCCATTCATTTATCTGGTAAGAGTTTTAATTTATTCGTTATATTTCGAACTGAACAGCTTAGACCTTCGTCAGTACTAAAAGAATGTTAAATGAAAATCTGAATTTATATAATTTGTCCATTTTGCTATTTAATCAACACAAAGCTAAAATCGTTGTTGTAGGCTACTTTTTTTTAATTCATCTTTTATTTAAGATGAATGACGTCTTCTAAAATGATAATTGATAACGGTTGTACATAAAAATATTTACGGTATATCAATTATTTCGTTTGCAAAAAACAAACAAAAAAAGTAATCGATCACTACTTCTAAACATTCAAAAGAAGTCACAAAATGCATTTTAACGTGGGGAGTAAAAATTTAATTCGAGATTTAACATCGGAATTTAAATGAGTAAAAATTTTTTTTTTCATTTTTAATTCTGGTTTAATTCTGTTTTATTTTCAAAAAAAAAATTAATTTTCGTAAAAATTTTAATTATTAAAAAAAATTAAATTCAAGTTAACATCAAAATAAATAAATTTTATTAATTCCTAATGTATATTAAAAGATATTGTGTTTTTTAATTATTTTTAAAATGATTAAAGTTAAAAAATTAATGTTATGGTTGTAAAAGAACGTTTGTTTTATTCAACATTTGTTTTATTCAACACTTTTGAAAAAAAACAAAGATAATTAATAAAAATATACTTTTAAACGTCTTTTAAACATTAATGTTTAAAAGACGTTTAAAAGACATTTAAAATACTTAGATCGTAACTTTTAAAAAGAAATGCCCGTCGGGACATATCATCAGCCGAGAACCAAAAGGCCGTATGTCCACATTTTCTGTTTTTTTCTGTTTATTATCAATAAATATTCAAAATCAATGTAAAATTCCGATAAATCTAGTCTCAAGAATGGCTCAACTTTTCAAAATATTAAAAAATTTAATCGGCGCAAGTCTTTACAAATTAAATTTTAAAACTTGATTTTCTCGGAAACACAAAAAATGGACATACAGCCTCTTGGTTCTCGGCTGACAATATGGCAAAAATGATTTCTTTAATTTTTATTTTATTTTATTTTATTTTTTTTGATAATTAATTGCGATCAGATTTCAAAAAAATTTATTACATTAAAAATACGTGTGAAATTTTTTTTCTTTTAATTCCTTAAAAATATATTTTTATTAATTATCTTTGATTGATTGGATAATTTAAATTTATCAGAACGGTAATTCATGTTCTTTATTATATCCCATCATTCCTTTTTATTATAAAAATGTTAACAGATTTATTTTTTAAAAAAGCAGAATTTGTAGACATTAAAAAAAAAAAAGTTACTTAAACCAAAAACGTATGGAAAAGCTTATGTTTATGTCTTGATCTCTTAAAAGTTGGTATTCTTCTAAAAAATAATGTCTTCAATTTTATTTCTCTAATTAAACATCCTATTCTTTGGGCAATAGGAAATGGATGACATTCTAAAACTCCGCTTCCATTTATTGCACCAACTTGGTGCGGTAAATTCTCAGAAATAAGTTTCTGAGAATTTACTAGTTTATTACTAGTTTATTTAATTTACAAAGTCTAGTTTATTTTTATGTTTGTTATTGTAGAATTTCAAATTTTAAAATTTTTTTTTTCTGTATATTTTTTGTAGTCATAAGAGTTGGTGGATACTACCTGTAACATAAAAACTTTTCTGTATATTTTTTGAAACCATGACATCTGGATTAAGATTGTCTATACATAAAGCTAAATTATATATTCTTATTGGATGCCTATGATGAGAAACCATATAATTATCATATGCTGTATTATAATACGGTTTCTTTGTTCTAAATGTTATGTGATTCAAAGTTTGTAGTTTTTGGGACATCTAAGGCGGAGTAGACAAAACATGAATTCTGTTCACTTTGCAAAAGTTAATGGACTCAATAGTTAAAGGTGACTCATAATTTTGAAACAAAATAAGGAGAATCTTTAAGGCTGCATCTCACATGCTTTAAACAGAGTTTTAGAAATTATAAAAAACATTCTGCTTTAAGCAGAATTAAAAAAAAAAACTATAAAAAATTTGAGCTAGTTATCCAGCCACTAGGATGCAGAGCTCTCTATACTCTTAATGGTCCACCATCTTTTAAATGTTGCTATCAATTTTTTCCAAGAAATATTATGAATGGTGGTAAGTGGTTTCCATATCATTTATGGGTGCTCATACAGTAACACTCCACTAAAGTCACTTTTAACATTTGATTGATTCTTCACAGGCTTTTAATTTGTTGTTGTTGCATTTTAAAATTTCAACCTAGGGTTTTCACCTAGATTTTCATTTTTTTACTCTTTTCATTTTTTTACTCTAATTTACAATTGTGTATTTTAAGCGCATATACCTTTTCATTCACATTGAAAAATGTTAACGCTAGAAATTGAAATTTTAGGAGTCTGCTAGAGATGATTTACAAGAAGAGTTACCTGAAATGCACCACCACCACCATGGACGACATCCAAAAAAAACATGGGTGACTGATGTAAATGTGTTCAGCAAGAAAAAGAAAGTTGATGAACTTGATCAATTTTTCCAAGAAGATGATGACCCTATGGATGAGTATGGTATGTTACAAATAATTTCTATGAGATAGCTTCAATGATTTGTAATAAATACTTTTTTTGCAGTTGATAAACTAATAAAAAATAAAACTCAGTAAAAATCCACATAAAAATGCATTATCATTAATAAAATACAAATTACACACATTAGTAAATAATTGCATTGATTAAAATTGTTTTTTAAAAAGTGCTAAACTTATAAAGAACAAGAATACTTACTAGAGTATTGTTAACTTTTAGGTTTGTGTAAGTGTTTTTGTCAAACAAATTTGTTGAATAAATTTTTTTTGTGTGATTTTTTTTTTAATATTTGTTTCTATATAATTAATATTTATAATTGTATAAATAAAACTGTGTAAAGTTTATAAATTTTATTTTTAAAATTAAAATATTTAGAGTAATTTAAATAAAGTTCTAAATATTACATTGATAGATACAACAAGTTTAATGAAGTGTTGCTCAAAACAAATTTATTCGTATTTACATGTTTCATTTTGCTTTGTTTTGTTTACATGTACAATGTTTTAGATTTTATCTATAGATCCTTGTGATTTAAAGCCTTGCCGTAATGGCGGCATTTGTAAGATAAATGGTAACACCAATGTGGAGTATAACTGTATCTGTCCTCGTACATTCAAAGGAGTAAATTGTGAAAGTAAGTGTTACATCCACCTAAATAAAGAGCTTTGTTCATTATATACATATGAGCAAATCTGTTTGTTTTAAAAGGAATGTTTTGTTTTGTTATATGCAATCATTGTTGTTGTTTTTGTTTGGTAGAAATACATAAAATTTCTGACTTAATGTTTACAATCGCCTGCACAACCAAAAGTCATAAAAATTGGTTGAAAATATTTTAGTGTGTATAAAACCTGTATTTGTAATCCACTTTTAAAATATATTAAAATAAAGTATAAATTTAAGTAAATTGGTTGAAAATATATTATGAAATTGAATTTCTATAAAAGAATGAAATTTCATATTTCATAGAAATTTATTTTAAATTTTTTATTTATTTTATAATTTATACTATTTATTGTATACATGTTTTTATTTATATAAATATATATGGATTTATACACCTCTCTAGTTTCAACTGCAGCTTAAATGTAAATGTACACAACCTTTTAAGAAAGTTTATGTATTTGTTACATGGTTTTTTTTTGCAAGAATAATACTGTAATCAATAAAAATAAATAAATAATTGTGTAATCAAGCATATATCTATATCTATGTAATATAAATATAATAAATATATAGTATCTACTATTAATATATATATATATATATATATATATATATATATATATATATATATATATATATATATATATATATATATATATGTATATATATATATATACATATATATATACATATATATATATGTATATATATATATATATATATATATATATATATATATATATATATATATATATATATATATATATGTATATATATATATATATATATACATATATATATATGTATATATATATATATGTATATATATGTATATATATATATGTATATATATGTATATATATGTACATATATGTACATATATGTATATATATATATATATATATATATATATATATATATATATATATATATATATATATATATATATATATAAAACATATTAATAGAAATAGATGGCCAAAGTATAATTGCTTTATGTTTATGTTCATGTTATGTTTATTAATATATATATATATATATATATATATATATATATATATATATATATATATATATATATATATATATATATATATATATATATATATATATATATATCTTATTATATTGTTTAATATCAAATATAATTCCCAACTTAATGCAGTACAACATAACTAATGAATTAATAAAACTAACACTGCAACGCACTCTGCAACTAATACTGCAACACACTCTGCAACTAACACTGCTAAAAACTCAACAACATTTGATTAACTACTATATTCAAACCGTTCAAACTGTTCACTATCATATGACATCTAATATAACATCATTTAACAGTAGTTATTTATTTTTGTGAACACATGACTTATAAACACAAAACATATGCACTATAGAACTACAAACTTTTATTGTTTAATTATTGATTTTTCCATAAAATTTTTGATTAACTGTAACAAAAAATTTACAAGTTAAAACAAAAAATTTATAGCTGATTTTAATGGCTTTTTTTGTTAATTCCAAAAGAAGGTAAAATTTCTATAAGTTGTTCTTAAAAACAATGCTGTTATATTGTTGTCAAGGTCTTTCATTTATTCATTCAACATTTTTATAATGCAGTACGTAATCGCTGTCATCCCAATCCATGTGCACATGGATCCAAGTGCACTCAAACAAAAGAAGGATTTGAGTGCGCCTGTCCTGCAGGCTTTAAAGGCAAACGTTGTACTGGTAAGTTGAACAGATTTTTAGAATAAATTTCATAGCAGTTTTATTTTTATTATTATTATTGTTTTAATTTAACTTTCTGCTTAACCAACAACCAATCAATATGCAACAAAATTAAACCAATTAACATGCAAGTTGAAAAGCTGAAATCAGGGCTAATGGAAAAAAAAAAAAAATTTTTTTTTATTAGCCCTGAAGAGATTAGGTCAACATAGTAATAAAGATGATTTAATAAAAGAGAGGAAATAAGTTGGCTATGAGCAAAAGATAAAATTGTTATAGGAGAGGAAAATTTTTTCATTTAAAAAAAAAGTGATTCAATGTTATAATCAAACCTTATAAATTTTTGCAAGTTTTCATAATTTTTTTCCATAAATTTAAAAAGTATGACAAACAAAGTAAGATTTTTTTTTTCTTTTAATTAAATTCATTTAAGTTAATTAAATAAAAGAAAGGCAACCTTAGCAGATGCTAAATTTGTAACTTATTTGGTTAGGTATATGAAATTTTCATATGAGATACTAAAATAAAATAAAAAAGAAGTAGAGTAGTCATTAAAAGTTTTTCCATTAATAGTTATTTCATTAACTAATTATTAGTTCCATTAATAATTAGCAGTAACTGAGTTTTGCTTAGATTAAAATTCATCTGCCATTGCAAGCTCCAAGCTGTCTCAGAACAAAGACCACATTTAATATTCACTGTTTTTTCAATCAAAATGTTACTTGGCTGGAATCAAGGTTAGAGTATATAGTTGTGTCATCAGCAAATAGAACCATTTTAGAAGTACAATTATAAGAAGGTCATTAACATAGATAGTTAACAATACAGGGTGGAACTCTGTTTTGCCATAGAAGTTATTGGAAATAAAGGAGAATGTTGTCTGACAAGGACAACTTTAATACTGCAATTAGAAAAGAATAACTCAATAATTTTAAAAACTATCTTGAAAACACCATAAAAAGCAAGCTTATAGTGAAGACCAGAATTATGCCAGAATTTATCGGATGACTTAGATATGCCAAGAGCAATAGCCCTTATCTGGTTGCTTCTATTTAATGCACTTAACTGTTATTATGTTTAACAAGTCAGTTATAGAGGACTCAAATTTCATATTAATTGTCTAGTTGTTAGACTCAAGACCAGATTTTTAAAGTTTGTTAATCAAAGATTGAAACGCTTGCTCATAATAGTGATAAAGAAGACTGATTGAACTAGAGGGGTTAGAGCAGGTTAAAGGGGTTAGAGCAGGTTAGAGTGGTTACATTGATCCCCAGAATTTTTTAACTTATATTCAGAAAAAACTGAATATAAGTTAGGGTCTGAGACAAAATGCAAATTAAATGAAGGTTAGTGATTAGATTTTTCTGTAACAAATACACAAAGTTAACTATCGTAGTATGAGATTGAGAAAGAAAATACTTATCGCAATGACTTGGCACTAATACCAGCAGGAAAGGTGGTGTCAAGCCATTGACAGAAAAGGTGGTGTCAAGCCATTGCCATGAGCATTTAAATCACCAATAATAAAAGTATTTTGTTGAGGGATAATGAGAAAAGCCAATTTGATCAGAATCACCATAGAAAATCTTGTGAAGAAAAACAATAAAGAAACAAAAATGTGATTAAGTTTAAAGACATCAAGCAAGATGATTCAAACTAGATTTCAGGACATATAGGTGAATTGCTACTTCAGCCCAGGCCAAACAAATGGCTATTGAAGTCATTGGTGATTACAAGATAAAACTAATCAATATTGAAATCTAAAACAGAATTCTTCAGAATTACTCTCACAAATAACAAGTTGGTCTCGTAAATTTTTATGTAGGCTTAGTAAATTTTATATGAGATGAAATTCAGCAGATTAATTAGTTTAAAGATCATAAATATTTGTATGGGGTTTGTTTGATATGATTTGTTAAACAAAAAAAACTAGTAATACTAGTTTTTTTTTGTTTAACAAATCATATCAAACAAATACTAGTAATACTAGTAATACTAGTTTTTTTTTTTTAACATTTTATGTATTTTATTCATGTTTTAGTATAAAACTTGTATCAGTCATATATAGTGCATGACACCTTAAACAATATGCAGTTGCTTTATTACTTGCCTAATTAGTTGCCTCATCAACCCAAACTATTAACAAAGGGCTTCTAATGTGGACTTAAAAATGCACTGGAGTCAGAACCATTAAACTGAGTTTTAGAGCTGTGTCCTCATTAGCAGATAACAGAAGAAATTACATAGTCTCTACCAAAATATCAAGGGTATTCAGATTTCATCTTTTTTTGCAGGAAAAAATACCATCTTTTTTTAATTTAAGTAGCTGGTTTTAATTTTTTAAAACTTATTTGTGTATATTTTATTGTGTTTTTTTTTCATAAAAATATAATAAAAACTTATGTAGTAACCAAAACAGAAAATTTTGTTTTATTAATAAAAAAAATTTTAAGGCAAAAAATTCATGTTACTCTAGTGCAAAGATTTATTTTATGAAGTGCAACATTTATATTTTAAATAACTATAATTAATTATGTAAAAAAAATAAGTAAAAGAGAAAAACTTTTTTTATTAATTAATTTATTTATATAATAAATTTTTCAGAACCTTAGGGATCTAGTTATTTGTTATTAACATTTAAAACTATTTTATAAACATTTTTTAATTTTAAAAGCATTATTAATATTTTAAAGCATAGAATATCGTTGAAAATATTAATAATGGTTTTTATGAAAAGTAATGATAAATAATTTTCAATAGATCTTTTTTAGAGAGGAATTACTGTCTTCCAAACCCATGTTTTAATGACGGCGTTTGTTCTGAATCCAACTCAGTAGACAGATACTCTTGCTCATGTATTAGAAATTGGTTTGGCAAAGTTTGTGATCGTAAGTTATTTTAAAAATACTTAAAGAATTCAAAACTTAATTCTGTATATACATATATATATATATATATATATATATATATATATATATATATATATATATATATATATATATATATATTGTTATTAATATGATTAATAATAAATATTGATAAAACAAATAATAACAACAAAAAAAAAAACTAATAATATACTTATTCTTATTAAATATTTATTTAAAAGTTTTAATTTAATTTTAATACTTTTAAAATTTTTACATATTTTTTGCAAACAGATGAGGAGTAAATGGGTTCCATAAAAAAATTGGTCTGCAAATAAATATTGGATGTACAAAAAAAAGCTAGATTACAAAAAAAAGTTTGTTTGTGTTATTCTCTAATAAGATCTAAAAAAATTTAAAAACCTTGTTATAAAAATGTTTTTTTTTTTTTTTTTTATAAATTCAAGTTAACAGTTTTTTAATAATATTGAGTTGGCTAAACTATAATAAACGATTTTTCTAAAAATTTCAAGAAGTTTCCATAATTTAAGAATACATATAACATGAAATGGCTTATCAGGCCAAATTAAACTTCTGCATTGCAAGTTCTAAATATCATGTTATTGACCATATACAACAATGCCTGTTTTACAAGTTTCAACAGCTGAAGCTACATGGAATAATATTCCATGTAGCTTTAGCTGTTGAGTAACCCATATATTTAATAAATGCAATCAGTTAGGTTAAGGTTTGGTGTCTGAGACAATAGCAATGTATTTTTTCAAAAATTTTATTATGGTGACTGAACCATAGCAAGATTGACTCGGATCCAGCAGCTTTTGAAATGCAATTGGATTAAAAGTGTTGTAACTGGATTTAAAGATTATAAACGTAAAGCATATTATTGAAAATTAGTTGTGGAATTAAAAGTTAATAAGAAATAAATTTCTTCTTAAAAAAAGTCTGTTACCTTTTAGCCAACCCAATATTAAAAAAAATAAAAAAACTTCATTTAACAATTATTTTATTAAATTTAACAGAAAATTTTTTTTTTTATTGTATATAATGTTATTAGTGTAAATGCATATGTGAAAAGAGAAGTTTCTTATTCTTTATACTCTTTTAGAACATATTTCAAAGGCAGATTCTAGTTTAGAGAGTATGGCCAGCATCTTACATGTTGGAGAAACAAATGAAAATGCTGTTGAAAAGTCCCAAATATCTTTTCCCAGAGATAAAACTCCAGTTAGTAAATCTCCATGTGAGTTCAATCCTTGTTCTAATAATGGAATGTGTGTAAATGATCCAGGATTATCTCGTGGTTATTATTGTGAGTGCACTGATGAATACCAAGGAACCCATTGTGAAGGTTTTAAATTTAAAAAGCAATTATCTTTTTTATATTTAATGTAGTTTTTTCCGTAAATATACCAATAATTTCAAATAAGTTTTTATCTTTTAATGTTTGAGAAACTGCCTATTGAAAAGTGTTTAAAGATAGAAAAAAATTTAATAGACAGATAATCATGTACATAAATTACTTGTCTTTGTATTATATATGAGATAGATAAAAATTTTCTGAGATTTTTTAGAATCTGTGAGTTAAGACAATACTATCTTTTTTAATATCTTTTTTAAGTTAAAATTTAAAGTTCTTTTTCTTATCTTGTCTTTATATTACAAATTTTCTAGATTTGCATAAAGTTCAAATCTCATCTATGTATATGCGTTATCTATATTTATGACATATAACATTTTTAGAACGTAAATGCAAGTGTCAAAATGGAGGTTCCTGCATTGGTGAAGGTGTTGAGTCAAAATGCTTTTGCAAAGCTGGTTATGGTGGCATCACTTGTCAAGGTATTTCACTTATAATCTGCTAACACCTAACGAATACAATATTTAGTTTAAATAATATTAATTTTTGTTAACACTTATTGTGATTAAAAAAATTGTTTTACTAATTAATACTAATTAAAAATACTAATTACTAATTACTTCATAAGAACACACACAGTGTAATGAAGATACCTGTTTGCATGGAGGTGTTTGCATAGAACAAATAGGAGGTTTCAAATGTAAGTGCGATAATGGTTACAAAGGACAACGTTGTGAAGGTTTGTTTTATATTGTAAATTATAGTATACTTTATTTATATTATAAAAATTTTTATTACCAATTTATAGGTACTTGTTAGTAAAATATTAACAAAAATAAATAATAACAAGTAAAATTTTAACAAATTTTTTTAATATTTGTTGCTTTTATTTTTTTATTTATTAGTTCAAATTTAAATCTAAGTTAAAAGCGTTTTTTGTTTTGGTTGTTTTTTTCCTAATAAAAATTAAAAAAAGTTTTAATACCCATGAACTGTTGTTAATACTTTTGTGCTTATTTTTTAAAACAATCGCCACAAAATACATTGGTACAAAAAGTATACTGTTACAAAAATTGCATTTATATTTTTGTTGTAATATCTTAACAATAAATACACCGTTAATGTTCACTTTCCATCAATTTTGGAAAATAGGATTTTTCCTCTTAATGTTTTATTATAATATCTGCTCATGTGCCTGTGTAAAAATGACTCCGAAGTAAAATGAAATGTTTTTTACCAAGTTATGTCATTACTAATAAATTTTACCAAATTTTTACAGATTTTTTTTATTGTGAAAATATTATATAGATTTATGAAGTTTTAAACAGAAACAAAAATGGTTAAATGTCTTTCACAGGCTTTCTTATTATTTGCTGTTCAATGATTTTATTTGACTTAGTCAATGAGCCATAAAATTAAAAAATAAATAAATCTGAAACCCTCAATTTATCAGTTTGGTTTAAACTTCAGATTGGTTTCATTGAAATAAAAAGCAACGTTTTGGAGATTATGTATATAACTTTATGGTATTTTTAAATAAACACAACTAATGTTTATGTTTTTTATTTGTTGTTGTTGATAAAAACAATCTTCTAAACATAGTCAAAAGCCATCTTTTTTAAGTGCTGGTAAAAACATTGAGAAAAACTGAGAGCTGAAAGTATCTTGTTTGAAACTTTTTCTTAGCAGAAAGTTTACATTATTTTGATATTGAATCTTTGTCTGTATTGTTGCTATTTTCCTAAGCTAATATAGCTAACATTCAAATTGGTTTTTGCTGGTGATGTTACTTGGTAATTAGGTTTTGATGCAAAAAATAGAGTTCAGGTATAGTATCTTGAATTTTTGGCATTTTTTCAGCTGATAAAGCTACTAATAGAAGGGAAGCACATTGTTTTAATGTTTTTCATTGATAATCAGAGCGTGGCCTTTAAATTTTATGTTTGTTGTTGCAATTGATATGGTTGCCTCTTAAAGTATTTACTTTACTCACGTGTACTCAGGAGTTCATTCTGATTCATTAGGAACAACCAGCTTCCTTGAACAATCAATTGCATCTAGTGATGCTATTGGTCATTGCAATTTTTTATTGCTCAATAGTATTTATTTAAGTTTTTAATTGTTTTAATGGTAACTAGTTAGACTTTTATTATCATTGTTGTTTTTATTACTTTCTTTAGCAGTTAAAACAATGTTGCTGCCATTGTCATTAATGAAGGTTTCTGCACTTAGTTAATTATGTTTAAAGTTACAATAAAAGTGTTTTATTGCTAGTTGCTACTCTGTATCTACCAGTGAATGATGTGCAAACAATAAAAACATTTATCAAATTATTATCCTAGCTAATGTAGTTTGCGTCAGATTCATGGACGAATCAAGTTTTAATTTGGCAAATAATCTGCTGTAAAATTTATTCCTGAAGTAATCCCAGTTACTTCTGGAAATTTTTTATTAAAATCTTTTTGCAATCCTTTCTTCACTTTTTTGCGTAAAATGACACATTGGAAGTTTTTTTCTTTTTTGATCTTGAATGAATATAATTCAGCAAAAATTAACCAGCACAAATAAATGTAAATTTGATCTTTAATATATTAAATGAATGAATGAATATATGGATGAAATGGACGAATATATTAAACTTACTTTTAAACAGTAACATCTGAGACTAATATTATTCTTGTTCTGTTGTTGCTAGCAGTCCTGGTTTCTATTTCCAGGGCATACTGAATTATGATGATAAAAAATAAAACAAGAGTTAAAGGGCATTTTAGAAAAAGGTTTAAAAACCTATATTCTGCTTTTTAGTTGTTTTTCTTATATTTATTTAAAGTAAATATTTGAAAATTGAGTTAATAAAAATTTAAAAAAGTAAATACAGAAAATAAAATACAGTACAAACAAATAAAAAATAACAATTTAAAGTTAACATCTTCTATTTCTTTTACCTTGATATATTTGCAATCAAAAAAATCTGTAATATATCATTTCTTTTGCAGCCATTTTATAGTTTTTTCTTTTTTAAACTTGAGATTCTTTTTCTCATTACGGGAAAAGTACTTGGTAACAACTAGATCGTGCATTTGTTTACTTCATTTAGTAATAGTTTCTGATTGGCTAATAATGTCATCAACATGTTTTTTTTTTATGTTGGTTACAATACTCTTAAATTAAATGCTTTTAAAATAAAATACTCTTTTTTGTGTGTGAGCACTTGAATAAGTGTATTAAAAATTTTAGTCTTAAATGCACCCCATGTTATTAAAAGCACTTGATGCCTCTTCTGATTACCAGCTGATGCAAGTGTTTTTCTAAGAAAACAAAACTTACACCTTAGATTAATTTAAATTTTGAAGGGACTTTGAATTAATATTGCTTGCTCACTGGATGATTTAATTAGCTTGCTCACTGGATTTTAATACTATTTTTATTGATAAATTTTATATTTGAAATGTTGTCTCTAAAATTATTATTATTAACAATAAATTGTTTTTTTATTTTTTTTATTATAAATTTTTATTGATATTGTTAATATTGGCATTTAGAGTATGATAAGTGTAAACCAAACCCCTGTCTCCATGGCGGCAGATGTTTAGATTTTGGTGATTTTTCAAAATGTGAGTGTAAAAAAGGATTTAAAGGAAAGCAATGTGAAGGTATGACAAACTTTTAAAGAAAAAACTTGTTTAGTTTTTTGTTACAATTTTTAATTGTTATTTTTATTTTAGAATGAAATGTTTCTCTTTATTTGAAATTCTCTTTATTTTTGCCTGAAATTCTGTTAGGCATTCCTCAGGAATAAGCTGAAGTTATAGTTTATAATAAATAATTCACTTTCAAAAGGTAAAAAATATATAACAAAAATCAGGTTCGTATCCAGCATTTTTTGGTCTTCAAGATATCTAACTTTTAGACATAGAGCAAACTCCAAACATTTATATGATTATACTTATGTCAAATAAGGATGCATTGCAAAAAATTGCGATGATTGGAGCTTGGGAACAAAAAAGCCCCAAAATTTGTGCTCCCCCTGCCCCAAATGTGAGAGCAACAAGTTGATGAAATATTTTTTGTACTATTTTTAACTAGACTTATATTTATCGATAAATTTTAAATTTCATAGTAAAATATTTCAGCATTCAAAAATTATAACAATATAAAATTTGCAACTCCCTCAAATTGAGGGGGGTTTATTTGACATAAGTATAAACATATAAATGTTTGGAGTTAGCTCAATGTCTGGAAGTTAGATATCTCGAAGACCAAGTAGTGCTAGATAGGGACCTGACAAAAATCAACAAAGGCTAAATTTTCTTTTTAATTTTTTTTTTTTTTTTTTTTTTTTTTGATAAGTTCTTGTTTAACATCTTTGATAAAACCTCTAATGGATGTATTCAAGTCACACTTTTAAAAAAAACATGCAGTTTAAATGATAAAATTTTATTTAGAATTTCTTTCTTAATAATTCAAGTTTTATTTGAGTAAATGTTATAACATATACATAATTGTCATAAAATGTTATATATTTTTTTAAATATCCTTTTGACAGGTGCTAGAAATTTTATTCAACATATAAAACATTTTATAATTTGAATTTATAATTTAATTTCAGATATAGATTTTTGTGTACCTAATCCTTGTCAAAACAATGGTCAGTGTTTCGGATTTCCCGGTGGTTTTCAATGTGAATGTCCTAAAGGTTTTAATGGAAAAACATGCCAACGTAAGAGCTTATAGTTGTTTATGAATAAATTGTTTATTAAATAAACAATAAATTATTTATTATATATAAATAAATTGTATTTACATTATTATGCTATCATATGTTTTTTAAAACTAGATATTATTCATTGCTTGTCAAATCCATGTTTGAATGGTGGTGAATGCAGTGAAGTTGGACCAACATATGATAAACCACATGGATCATTCGTTTGTCAATGTAAATCAGGATTTTCAGGCGATTCATGCCAAAGTAAGAATGCACTTGTGCTTGACAAACTATAAATATATGATATAAATATTATATATATATATATATATATATATATATATATATATATATATATATATATATATATATATATATATATATATATATATATATATATATATATATATATATATATATATATATATACATATATATATATACATATATATATACATATATATATATATATATATATATATATATATATATATATATTATATATATATATATATATATATATATATATATATATATATATATATATATATATATATATATATATATATATATATATATATATATATATATATATATATATATATATATATGCTGTGACATAAAGATATATTTTTTGATTGCTATTTAATTCTAGATCAAGATTTCTGTCGTTTCTCATCTTGCTTAAATGGTGGAACATGTTCTAATTCTAAAGATGGTTTTATATGTAATTGTCCTAAAAAATACCTTGGGAAAAATTGTGAAAGTAAGATTTAATCAAGTCATTTTTAACAGAATCTACATAAATTAAAAAGATAATATTATAGTTAAAATGTACAATAAATACACCAATTGGGTAAGAGTTATGGTTTATTTACTATCTATAATAGATGCATCAATCATTTGAGTATTTTATTTAATTTTAGAAACAAACTACTGCTTTGATGGCCTTTGTAAAAATGGTGCAAATTGTGTATCACGAGATGATCACTTCAGTTGTGAATGTATGATTGGTTTTAAAGGATCTACATGTGAAGGTAAAATTAGTAGGGTATCTAATATCTTTAATTGTTTATTATTTTAGTTGTGTTTGTTCATGTATTATTTAAGATATAAGTGTATTTGTTTGTTTGTTTTTTTCCATCTTTTCTTGATAAAAAGTTTATTTTGAACAAAGGTAATAATAAAGTTTTAAAATCAAAAAATAAATTTTGTTAATTAAAGAACTTTAAACTTTACAAACAAATAATTTTGTACATTTAATCACAAGTTATCTAGCATTATTAATATTTATCATGATTCATACTTTATGCAAATTTTTATTATCTTTTGCAACTTTTCTTATGCAACTTCTCAAGACCTTTCGCAACTTTTCTCGCAACTTTACATACCTATCTTTTGCAACTTTTCTAGCTTTACATACCTATCTTGAAAAACTTATTTAGAAATTGATTTTTGTGAGCCAAATCCATGTCAGAATCTTGGGGTTTGTTCATCTTCAAAGAGTGGCTTTACTTGTCAGTGCACTGAAGGCTTTAAAGGAATAACTTGCACAGGTTGTTTTTTTTACTATTTTGTAATTTATTTACAAATTAAAGAAATATAAAAATTTTTTAATTTTATTTTAATTCTAACATAATAGAAAGTGACCCTTGTTTTCCCAATCCTTGTATACATGGAAAATGCACTGAGTTTGGTGGAAGTTATTCTTGCAGCTGCACACTTGGTTTTAAAGGACTGAATTGTGGTGGTAAAATATATTTATTATCTTTTCAGAAAAATATTTTTTCACTATGTCTGATGGCTCTGACTACAAAATAAATAAATAAATAATTTTATATATATATATATATATATATATATATATATATATATATATATATATATATATATATATATATATATATATATATATATATATATATATATATATATATATATATATATATATATATATATATATATATATATATATATATATATATATATATATATTTAAAAAATATTTGTATAATTATAAAATATTATAAATTTATATAAATAAAGTAATATAACTTTTTATAAATATATTTATATACTTTTTATGATAAGTAGTTTATTCTTTCTCTGTAAATATTTACGACATTTCAATAAAATATAATATAATAATAATAAAAAAAAAACATCAGATTTTTTTTATATTCACAAATGTTTTTCAAAATTATTTAGAAATTGCTCATTGCGAGCCAAACCCATGTTTTCATAATGGTGTCTGTCAAGAAATTAAAGGTGGAGTTGGTTTTGTGTGTCAATGTGTTAGTGGATACAAAGGTCAAATGTGCCAAAGTAAAAACTATTTTTAATTATTATTTGAAAATATAAGCAATTTATATTTGTTGTAATAGTATGATAATAATATTTTAGTATTAGTTCCAACTAAAGAACCAAGTGCCATAAGTATTTTTGCCTAAAATGAACAAAAATTTGATTTTGGTTTAATTGATTTGGTGTGTGTCTTGGTAATTTTCTAAATTGTGCAATCTTTTCATTAAATATTTTTATATACTTTTTTATATATTATAGTTCAATACTTTAGTATAAAACTTGTAAAAAAACATGCAAGACCAAAAATGTAAAAAAATATATTTTTTTTAACCATCTATTTTTTTAAGGAATTGTCAGATCATAAAATTTGATGTTCTTTATGTCTAATGAATAAGAAAAGGGTAAATGATTTGCGTCAAAAAATTGAGATGTCAAGTAATCAAGTTAATTTGACTTCCCAGGTAGAAGAACTTTTTGGGCTGTCTTTCCTTTAGAAATATCACTAAACTTATTCCAGGCTAATTCTAATTTCTGTACCAAAGATATCTTGTTTATTACCACCGGAAACTTAAAAAGAGTATTCAAACTGTTAAAAAACCAAGTCTGATAATTGCTCACAAAGTTCTTTCACAGAAATCAACCAAATAATTAAAGGTTTGGCCTAGTGGATACAAGAAAATATAAACAAATTTCAGCTATCTTTAAATGTGACTTTATTACTTACCTGTCAATATCTTTTTCAATAAGCAAAAATTATTGTATTAACAAACTTCCTTATGATATCTCTGAGAGTCAGCAGGAACTATTAGAGATATCAGTATAATATCTCTGAGACAGGGCTGACTACACCAGGGGATCCTGCCCCCCCCCCCACACACACACATATTTTTCCTAAAAGACCTTTTTTTTATATATATGTGCATATATATATATATTTATATATATATACATATATATATATATATATATATATATATATATATATATATATATATATATATATATATATATATATATATATATATATATATATATATATATATATATATATATATATATATATATATATATATATATATATATATATATATATATATATATATATATATATATTTATATATATATATATATATATATATATATATATATATATATATATATACATATATATATATATATATATATATATATATATATATATATATATATATATATATATATATATATATATACATACATATATATATATATATATATATATATATATATATATATATATATATATATATATATATATATATATATATATATATATATATATATATATATATATATATATATATATATATATATATATATATATATGTATACATATATTGAATACTAGAGAAAAGGAGTTTAATAATGTTTACAATATTCTCTTATACATGTTTATTAAGTGAAGAGTAAGATTCCTTTCTTACCACATCTACCTAAAACACAATAAAAATTGTTAAAAATTATCAGATGAAGAATCTGATTGAAATCTTACAATCAATAACTGTTAGAAAAATATATTGTAAGATATATAAGGTGGTATATGTCAAAGTTTGACAAAAATAGACTCAAAATCCTTGATAATATTGACAAGAAAATTATTCAGAAAATGTATAATAAATAAGAGTTCTTTTCATAGTAATAATCAGAGAGGTGTCTTAAGCAGATAAAAGGTGATTAATGTCCAGTTAATAGAACAGTAAGCAGATAAAAGGTGATTAATGTCCAGTTAATAGAACAGTAAGCAGATAAAAGGTGATTAATGTCCAGTTAATAGAACAGTAAGCAGATAAAAGGTGATTAATGTCCAGTTAATAGAACAGTAAGCAGATAAAAGGTGATTAATGTCCAGTTAATAGAACAGTAAGCAGATAAAAAGTGATTAATGTCCAGTTATGGAACAGTAAACACTTGTTAAATAATTTTAAAGTATAGAAAAATTATTTGGAGGTTACTGTTTCAAAAATAAGACAGAACTGTTGTTTATACAACATGATGTAGAAGTATACGAGAGAGAAATAACTTTGATTATGGATATAAGAGTGATTAGAAAAAGTAAGAGAAAATTAACCTTTGATTAAAAGTTCAATTGTAAGAAATATTTTAAATTAACCAAAACTTATATAGAGTAGATTTATTAAATATTTGATATTTTTATTGAGAATGAAATTAAAAAAGGTGTTTGTTTTTAAAAACTGAGAGTGCTTTAGGCACTGCAAAGTCTTCAGTTATTAAAGTTATACATTAATTAAGTAATGTATTATATAATATAAAAATTTTATTGTTTATTATTAAAAATTTTACTAAATTTTTTATAATTTTTTTTTTAATTATATGAGTATTTTTTTTTTTTAATTATTTGTTGTTTTTAATTGATAGAAAAAGATTTGTGTAACCCTAACCCTTGTAGTAATGATGGAAAGTGCAGCGATTTACTTGAAGATGTTCAAGTGACACCTAATAGTTTGTTGTCTGGGAATTATGTTCCTCAAAAAAGAGCATCTGAAGGAGAAATTAAATGTACCTGTGCTGCAGGATTTATGGGAGAGAGATGTAATCGTAAGTAGATATCTATTTATCTATATATGTATATATATATATATATATATATAATATATATATATATATATATATATATATATATTGTATTTTCTACTATATATATATATATATATATATATATATATATATATATATATATATATATATATATATATATATATATATATATATATATACACACACACACATGGCCCCCACAAGCTCTTTTTCTTCGCAAAAAATTTTAGAAAAATTAATAAAAATTTAGGTAATTTTTCATATATCTGCCTAACTTCACCAAAGCTGTAAGATGTTACTATACATTGGGGCTGTCTATCTGAAATCAATTTGGGCCATTTACAGGGTCATCAAGAATTATCTCAATGTTTTTAATTACATTGCATTTAATTCTTTTTATGCCACACTATCGTTAGGATTATCTCTTGTGTCCATCGGAAGTAGTGGATCCATGTGCATGTCCATGATCCATGTCCTTTGTCTAATTTTTCACCTATTGAATCTATTTTAAAATGATTTTCTGACATCACAGTTATGCTCTCTGCAATCCTCAATTTTACCATTAGAAGAATCTTTATTTCTACATCGGAAAAATTTGGTTATTGATTGACTAAGAGATTATCTCATTTTTAAGTTTTCTTTTTTGAACTCCAGATTTGTGTTTGTAATTTGAGTTTGATATGGTGTTTGAACAACTTGACAATCTTAAAAAATAATTTTTGTTTCGAGATATCATTTAAATCCTGAACAAAAAATGTATCTTTTAAGGAAGTAAAAGTTTAGTTATGGAACATCAGAATCATAATATTTTCAAATGATATATATGTCTGAACTCAAATAATTTCAGAATAAATTATTGTTCTTTTTTAGTTGATTGATTTAATAACAAAGTTCAAATAATGTAAAATGATTAACCTGAAAGATAATGGACCAAATTATGTTAACCAATTTATTAGAAAAATTTCGTAGAATCCGTAGAAAAAACTTTTATATGAGAAAAATGTGGGATTTAGTTTACACAACGGTCTACGTAAATAGTTTTAAGACTATGGCGCTCTTAAGTGCAAATATAAATGTTAAACTACTTGTTAACGTTAACGACTAATAACTTTTATTTCATAACGAAGTTGAGTTTAACTTCGTTATGAAATCGCTCAAAAAAATTAGCGTAAAAAAACGGCAATTTATATAAAATAAGTAGAAAAACAAGAAGTTTACCTGAATTAAAGAAATTTCTGTTTGTACTTTTTAATTTTAAACAATATTTTTGGTTCAAAAATTTTTCTTTTCTTTTCACTTTTATTTTATATTCAAAAATAATATTTTACTCGAATTCACTATTTTTCCTCTTACTACCTTGTTGTGAAGGTAATGCCCTCTTTACCTCCGGGCCCCAGTGCTTCAGTCCCAGTGCCCTTCGTTTGTGGGGGCCATATATATATATATATATATATATATATATATATATATATATATATATATATATATATATATATATATATATATATATATATATATATATATATATATATATATATATATATATATATATATATATATACATATATATATATATATGTATATATGTATATATATATATATATATATATATATATATATATATATATATATATATATATATATATATATATATATATATATATATCCCTACGGGCATTTCTTTTTAATAGTTACGTTCTAAAAGTCTTTTAAACGATATTTAAACGTTTTTTAAACGTTCTTTACGTAAGAATGTTTAGAAGATGTTTAAAAGACATTTAAAATACATTTAGAAAGTAACTTTTAACAACAAATGTCCGCTGGGATTTATATATATATATATATATATATATATATATATATATATATATATATATATATATATATATATATATATATATATATATATATATATATATATATATATATATATATATATATTATATATATATTATATATATATATATATATATATATATCAAGTCTCCATTTTTTTATTTTAAGTGTAATATTAAGTCTTATTTTTAAACTAATATGTTAAAAAGCAACTCTTCTAAAACTCTTAGTTTTCTAATTTGTTCTCGGCTTAGTTGTTAACTCAGTTTGTTTTTGATTAAGTTGTTAACTTTGTTGTTTAACTTGTTTTTGGTTTAGTTGTTAACATCGTTAACAACTAATTAAATCTCAGTAATGATGAGTTCCTCAAATTTTCAGCAATTCGCTTCAAGAATTTTTGCTTCTCTGCGTTTGTAGCTTAAAATGCGTATGAGTTTATGCAACCCCTGCCAGGTGTGTCGGCACCTCCTGCAGGATGTTTAGTGCAGTAAATGCGCATATTGTTGTATTTGATTTAAATTATCAGCGAGTTAATCATGCGTGCACATATTTGAATATTTCAATTTTAAACGCACTTTCAAACGGTTGCTTGTCACTTGAACTTGTTTGTTAAAATATGACATTAACAAAATATTTTTAAATAAGTTTTATTCCAGTTTATCAAGTTAAAGAATTGTTTGCGTTTTTTGGATTTTGTAGTTCCCCTGGGGTTTTCCTTAGACGATACAAAAAAGAGTTGTCCATAGCGATATTATTCAATGTAACTAGATTTCATAATTTGTTTACAATTTTGAGATAATAGCGGTATGATAATCCTATATAAACACGTGTTGATAACAACTGGAATGATTTTACAGTTGATGTCTTGTAAAGGTAAAAATCTTTTTTTTTATTTTTTCGCCGATAATATTGTTAGAGATTTGACAAGAAAAACAGCACTGTCCTATATTGTGAAATCAGCCTCTAGGTGTAGAATAAGAATTTAGGTAGAGTTAAAAAATAAATTATAGTTGAGTATGGTTATCATTGTAAAATGCATTTTTTTATTATACAACCACAGTTAAAACAATATCAGTTCATCACATAATATAATAATGTCATTGGCGGTTTGAATTAACTACGTTGCAACACGATTTTTTCCGATATATTCTTATAATAAAAACGGAGCGCAATAACTTCTTGTGCTATCTAGTCTTGTCTTGTGTTATCTAATCTACTGTGTAATCTAACTTACACTACTTTCCAGGTGAAAGTACGAAAAAAAAAAACCAATAAATAAATAAAAACTTTCTTTTTATAGAAGTAGACATGATTAAAAAATTAACAAAATAATAACTATTATATATATATGTATATAGTACATATTATATTCAGTAATCTTAAATCTATTTTGCGTTTAAAAAACTACCAAATAATTTTTTCAAAATTATTTATTTATGGAGGACATTAAATGTTAATTTCATTAAGTAATATTTGTGATATTTCGGGACTATATGAACAGTCCCATCAATTAGACAATAACGTTAGAATTTTAAAAAAATATATCTACTCATTCATACAAAATATCTTTTAAACAAATAAGGTTATTTATTAAACTATAACGTATATTCAGCAAAGAATATCAATTTGCTTTCTATTTGTTATTGGTTTAAATTATATGTAAAAAGTTATTCATTAAAATATATTTTTCTTTACTAAAAATGATATTTACAGCAAAACGACTTAATCAATGGATTTCATATTTGTGCAAATATAACCGTATTAGTTGGCACAGATTGGGCTGTCTATCAATTATGTCTAGAAAATAGGGGGAGGGGGTTTGAAAATGTTTGATAGTTGTTGACTAGGGGAGGTCAAGAAAAATTTACGTCAACAAAGTTAATTTTTTAATAAACTTAATAACTTAATAAAATATAGCAAAAACATTTTTTTTGTACTAAAAAGCGAAAAATAAACTTTTTAATTAAAATTTAGTAGTTCAGTAGCCTAAAGATTGACAGGTCTGCACAAGATTCATTTCAAAATAGTCCTGTCAATCTTCAGTTTATTGAACTACTAAATTTTAATAAAAAAGTTTATTTTCCGCTTTTTAGTACAAAAAAAAATTATATTTTTTAGCAAATGTTTTTACTATATTTTATTTTTACTTTTTAATCTTTACAATGAGTAATTAACAATGCGAATTATTGTTATCTAGCATTCTCTTAGACATAAAGTCTTTTAGGATCTAGAATCTAGAATTTTGGAACAAAAAGAAAAGACAAAACTTTGATAACTATAAAGACTTTAACTCTTGTGTTTCAATTTAATGTTTCAAATCTGACTTTTTTTGTTCTTAATCTTATAGGATCATATAAGGCTTTTTGACTAGGGTGTTATTTTTATGTCGCAATATTATTATTAAACAGTATTCAAGAAATAAGAGGTAGAGTTGCGATTAAGCTCTCTAGTAGCAAGCAGCATTGGTGCAATATGGTACAATGCTTATCTCAATGTTGGCTAAATGTTGTTTTATATATATATATATATATATATATATATATATATATATATATATATATATATATATATATATATATATATATATATATATGTATGTATATATATATATATATATATATATATATATATAATATATATATATATATATATATATATATAATATATATATATATATATATATATATATATATATATATATATATATATATATATATATATATATATATATATATATATATTTACTAAATAAATATTTACAACTAAAAGCAATTAGGTTTTCTATCCTAATAATTTGTAGCTCGTATTATTAGTAAAATTTTTAAATTTTAGGCTTAGATAAAGTAGTTTTAAATGTTTGAGAAATAAATAATATGGAAATAAAAACAAGAAAAAAAATTATTTTTCAAAATAATATATATAATACACATGCAAATATTTATATATATTTTGAAGAATATATAAAACTTAATATACTAAAGTTAATAAATGACCAAATTACATTAATCACATAAAAATATCAATTAACAAATCTAATAAAATGTGCTCACTTTGAAGACCGATAACATTAGGTTTTTAAATCTGTATAGAATGTTTGTAAACATGGATGAATGAATTTAAGTAATGATATCAAATCTGTTTGTTTTTTTAACAGTGATTGTTTTTCCATTTGGAAATAATAAATCTTGGTGTACATAAGACGGATTACAAGGTGGTCTGCCTCTTATTTTTTTGTTAAAATCAACTTCTTCAAAAATTGAATCCTCAGAATAATTATGTTTATATTTTTGGGGCTCACATTTCAGGAGTTTCATCCATTTTATTTTTATCCAATCTACCTTTTCACCGTGCATTGACTTTTTTCTGTTGATATTATTTTTTTCGAGCTTTGCAGTACTAAAAACATTTTGACATAAAACGCACTTCAAATTGAGGTAATTTTTTTTTTCTTTGCAGTTTTGACGATGTTGACCCAAGACTCTAGTACATAGATTTGTATTTTTAATTATAGAACAACTTTAATATTTTTGTTTTGCCCTCCACAGATGTTGCTGTGGAGGGCAAAACAAAAACATAGTTAGAGTCTCAATTGATTTCGGCAAAAAATAACAAGTATGTTCAATAAGGCATGATGAAATTACTTGACCTTCTCGAGATGCAACACTTTCATTCCAAACATACATAAGTCCTATATTTTCTACATCATCATGAATGCTTAAGTTAAATACCCACAACTGCTGTTTATAATAAACTAAAGATGTAGTGAGGCATGGAACTGCTTATGTTTTTTGCATGTCAAAAACCAGTCGTGGATAGGAATGGTGTGCGATTGCACGCCATTCCTGACCACGCACTGTTTTTACGACAACTTGACCACGGCTTTTAAGATTTTTGAAAACGTTTTAAAAATGTGCTGAAACAAAGTAATATAGTGAGAAATTGCTTTTAATGATATCAGGGGCGGATACAGGATTTTTTGAAGTTTGAAATAACTAACTTCCAGACATGGAGCGAACTCGAAACTTTTATATGTTTATAGTTATATCAAATATGGATACTTTGCAAAAAATTGAGATGATAGGAGCCTGGGAACAAAAAAGCCCCAAAGTTTTTGCTACACCTGCCCCAAACCTGAGAGCAACAAGTTGATAAAATAAGTTTTTTACTTTTCTCAACTAAATCTATATTCATCAAGAAGTTTTTAATTTTGTAAAACAATCTTTTAGCGTTCAATAATAATGGTCTTTTAAAATTTGTAACCCCCTCAAATTGAGGGGGATTCAAACTTTATGTGGCTATAACTTTTGAACGTTAAGAGATTATTGTATGAATTTTAAAATTTCTCGATGAATATAGATTTAGTTAAGAATAGTAAAAAAATTATTTTATCAACTTGTTGCTCTCACGTTTGGGGCAGGTGTAGCAAAAACTTTGGGGCTTTTTTGTTCCCAGGCTCCTATCATCTCAATTTTTTGCAAAGTATCCTTATTTGATATAACTATAAACATATAAAAGTTTTGAGTTCGCTCCATGTCTGGAAGTTAGTTATCTCAAACTTCAAAAAATCCTGCATCCGCCCCTGGATATGTACTATAAAAAACGATTTATTTAACTTATTCGTGTATTTTTTTCGACGAATGTAAATGTTTTTAAAACAACCTGAACAATTTTCTAATCAACAAAGAAAACGATTGTTTCAATAAACAATTAGATAAATAAATAAATTTAAAAGTTGAAAACATAACAAAGTTATTTTTTATAATGTAAACTTTCTAATGAAATGTTTTTCACTACGCTAAACGTTTTTTTATTACGCTAATAATATCATAAAACAGATAATTCAATTTTTAAGTGTTTTTTTTTTTATTTTTTTTTATTTTTATGATGATGAATGTTTTAAAACAATGTGTTTTATTAATTTAATAAACAACGACGACAACGATTTGTTTTAATAAATCTTTTTTAAAATTCTTAAATTTAATATATAATATAATTGATAAAACAACAACAAAAATTTTGTTATGTTTTCGACGTTATTAACTTTATGAATTTAAAAAAAAAGTTTATTGAAACACATCCCTCTTTTTCAAATTTTTTTATTGTTGTTGTTTTGTAACTTTCTAGTCAAATGTTTACCTACTACCTTAGTAACATAAAAACACTTAATTAGAAAGTTTACAAAACAACTATAACAAAATAAGTTTTTAAACGCTTTTTAAATGAAGTTTAACGCCATTTTGTATGGAAAATGGCTTTAAATTTTATTTTAAAAGTGTTTAAAAATTTTCATTTTTTTATGTGGTAAAATATTTTAACAAAAAAAGCTGCTTCACCAAGCAAACTAAGTTTCTGTCCAGTGCGCTTAAATATTAATTATAGTTTATTGTGGTTTGCAACGAAAAATTACGGTAAATCATTTTTTAATGTAAACTCATTTTTGTCTATTTTGTTGTATAGCCTGGTTTGGCTCTTAATTATCCATTTGTAAAAGCGTACAAATAATGTGAGCGACAATCTAATAAGAACATTATTTGTACGAGCGTACAAACAATGACCTCCTAGAAATGAAACATTACGCAAATATATTGACTTGACTAATAAAAATCAAGTTTCATTTTTATTTGTTACGTCAATATATTCGTGTAAGAAAGAAAAGATTATCCATATTACTTTTTTTTTTTTCTTTGAGAATTGGCTAACCAAAAAAAATTTTTTCTGTTGCCGAGCAAACAATATTTTTTTCCTATAGCATTTTTCATTTTGAATTAAGCAAAATGAGCAATGCTATAGGAAAAACGTATTGTTTGCTCGGCAGCAGTAAAAGTTTTTTGTTGAACTGTGTTTTTTGTTGTGCTCAGCAAAACAATTTCATAAATTTGTCAGTCTATTATATGAAATATTCTACTCGCTCCCTACGTTTTTACAATCTAATAAGATTTAAGTCAGTAAGAATTATAGAAGGATAGTGCGGGGCAATTGGAGCAGTTTTTGCTAAATTATTCAATTTTTTGAATGGTACGTCGGATTTACATAGATTTTTAATATTAGATAATATTATCTGCAAAAAATTTGTTGAGAACAAAATTTTTTAATCATATTTGTTTAAGAAAAAGGTAAATAAAAAATAAATAAAATAAAAAAAAATAAAAAGCCTAAAGTTACCTGAGCTAATCAGCATGTGTCAGAAGGTTAAGCTTAGCAAATGGGCTATCCATAATAGAAGGGGGGAAGGGGTCGAGATAAAAAGGACAAAAAAGGACACGAAGAGAGAGAGGTTATCAGAAAAGATCGTCACTTTATAGATTTTTTATTTTAGTTTAACATGAAAAACATATGTAAACATATGTTTTTAAGAAGATAATTTATAAGAATATTTTTAATTTTATTTTTCAAAGGTGCAGCAGCAGACTCAAATATTATTGCGAAATAAAATAAATTTTTTGGGGGTTAAAAATAGGGGGGGGGTCAGGATTTATGACGTCCTTTTCAAGAGGGGTATAGGAGAAGAGGACAACCGCTGACACAGGGGTAGGGGTCAAAAATTGGCTAAAAAATGATGACGTCCTTTATGGATGGCCCCAAATGTGTTAAACAAGTCGAGCAATAAACGAATTAATGCAAACTCGTGGTATACGTAAATCTTCAATAAAATATTATATAAAACTTGCATACACCTTTTATTATAAATTAAAAATATAATTAAAATCTATATAAAATATTTAAAGTATTATATAAAAATTATAAAGAGAAAAAATAACTAAAAGAAAGTAAAATGATACTTTTCTTAAAATTAAACATTTTCATTTTCAATCAACAAAGCAATTTTTCGTGGAAGAAAATAAAATATAAAACATACGAAACATTTACTGATAAATGAACATTACTCATCAATGCCCATTTTTTAATTAATACGAGCATTGTTTTGACCATGATGTGAATCGCTTTTTTTGTAAGACAACTTAGAAAATTAACTCTTAGACACTAGTGAGGTAAATTTGAAAAAAAGAAAAATTTTAAACGCGAGTTATTTTTATTTTTACAAAAAACTAATACTAAAAATATTTCAATTACTTTTATCTCATTCTCAGCATCTATACTTTTTTTCCTGCAGAAATCAATCCATGTTATCCAAATCCTTGCGAACATAACTCGCTGTGTATTGCAGATCACGGTGCAAATATTCAGTGTAATTGCTCACTTGGTTGGAAAGGAAAACATTGTGAAGGTATTTTGTTGACTTTTATTTTAAAACAAAATTAAAGCAATTCTTAATAAATCATTAATATTATTTAGTTCATTTTTTTAGAAGCCGATCTCTGTGCCCCAGACCCTTGCCGGTATGGTACTCATTGTCAACAAACAAGTGCTGAAAGTTATACTTGTTTAAAAAATCTATGTAGCCCCAATCCGTGTAGCAACGGCGGTCAATGTATTGTTGTTAACGATGAAGCTTTCCAATGTGCATGTCCAAGAGGATGGAGAGGAAAAATATGTTCTGGTAAGGTTAAATCAGTTTAATTACTTTAGTTATGAATTTTAGTAATTAATAAAGTTATAGAAAGTATTACAGAATAGTTTACTATGACAGCATAAATAATGTATTTTAAAATCAATATTGCGTCGTTATAGAACAAGATTTATGCGTGCCTAATCCGTGCGAAAACGGAGGAGTATGTCACGTTAACAACGACGCAGAATTTTCGTGCGAGTGTGTTGATGACTATATTGGCGCCAAATGTCAAGGTTTTATTAAATTTTATTATCATATTATGTATATATATGTATATATATATATATATATATATATATATATATATATATATATATATGTGTGTGTGTGTGTGTGTGTATATATATCTCTAATATGTATATACATATGTATATATGCATATATATGTATATGTGTATATATATGTATATATGTATATGTGTATATATATATATGTGTGTATCTGTGTATATCTATATATTTATATGTGTGTTTATATATATATATATATATATATATATATATATATATATATATATATATATATATATACACATATACAAATAACTTTTTTTTCATTTTTTAGTACACAAAGTTGAATCATTGCCAACTAAAAAAAGTATTTTTATACGTTTGTATATATTTACTATTTATTATATGTACGGAAATAAAAACTTATTATTTAAATCCTAGAAAATAATTTAAAAACTTTTAAAGTCTCTGACAGCAAAGATTTTAATCAATTTACGCCGGTTCCTAAGCAAAATTTATTATCTTTTTGCGTTATTTTTTTGTTTGTTTTTTGTAGGTTTTTGCGCTGGTTACCCTTGTAAAAACGGAGGTACTTGTCTAGATACAGATGGAGGTTTCACCTGCAGATGTAACAACGGTTTTTCCGGTCCATTTTGTGATGGTATGTGTAATATCTGCACATTTTTCGTTGATTTTTTAATCAATTGTGATAATATTTTGTATATTGGTATTTAATTCTTAGAGAGTGTTTGTTTTGGAGCACCATGTGAAAATAGTGGCACGTGCGTTCCATACTATGGTATAGCACTTTGTAAATGTACGGAAGGTTATACTGGAGCACATTGTTCAGGTTCTTTAATTATCTTTGTTTTAAATACTTATCGCTAATTTGTATTTAGTTATTATCTTATAAGTTTTACAAATAAATGTTATCGATAAATAAACGAATATAAAAGTAAACAAAAAATGATTGGATTTATTTAGATTCATTAATATTTTGTAATAGTCTATTGCACCAGCTTTTTTTGTAATAGTTTATTGCGCCAGTTTTTTTTTGGTTTTTTTGAGTTACAGCAACTTAAGAGATTGAAGTGAATGCAGGTTTTAGGTTATTTTTGTTTTCAGTCCCCAATTACTGTATTTTTTTTATATAAGCATTAACGCTAAAACTTGTGGCTTACTAAATGTCTAAAGGTCTCTTAAACACCAAAAAATTTGATGCGATCCTGTGTATATGTATGTGTATATATCTTTAATATTAACAAAAGACAATAAGTTTTCAGTTTATATAATTTACTAATCTTTAGTACTTTTTGTTCAGAAATTAAAAAACGTGGTCCAAAGTCGTTTCATATATCACAACAGCAAGACCAACAACAGCCCCATTCCACTGTAACAAAATCTCAGGTAACAAATGTGAGTCCGTCTGCAATCTTGTTTCAGCGCGTTGAAGAGATCCTTAATTCTGACAAAGAGGTTGATACGATACAGCCAAATCTTATAGAAGGATCTAAATTAACGGCGGAGAACGATAAGCCAAAACATATTACGCCCCCAACTCATTCATCTAATCCCGTTATCGCTCCTACTGAGATTCAAACAATTTCGCCAATTACATTTAGACTACCGGACTTATTGACGACATTAACTTATCCGACCACGGCAATTCAACCGGCACCGACGTTTTTGGTTCATGTGCAATCTAAAAGTTAGAAATAATTTAGAATAACTTTATTATTATTCTTTTTTAAAAAATAACTGCTAATTTATTTGTTTTGTAGTTTAGTAAAAAGATTATTTCCTAATTGAACTTTTATTTCTAATGAGTTAGGTCAGAGTATTGACGATGTTTGTAATCCGAACTTATGTGAACACGGAGGTACCTGCGTAGTGCGCAGCGACAATCAACCAGAGTGTATATGCTTGACAGATTTTTCTGGACCCAGATGTGAAGGTAAAAAGATTTAAAAGTTAATACTTTTTCTTTATTAAATTTTAAAAGTTATTTTAATTAAGTTTTAAAATAATAATATTTATTTGCGCACAATTTTTTATAGACATCGGTATGTTGGGTTACTCATCGGCACCAAAGTTTTTCCCTAATGGTATGTATTTGATTATCGTTTATGGTTATTAATTGCCACGTTATATACTTTAAAAAAAAGCGGAATAAAGCATAAATAGCGATGATGTTTATCTGACGGGGTAAACTAGGTATTGGTGCTGAGCCTCTTCGAAACGCCGGTAACAATAAACGCGATTCTAAAACGCGGTAATAAAACGCGTTTATTGCCACCACTACATAAATTATGATTACATAAAAGCAATAATGTTATGCCTCCTATGAATTTATATTTATTCATTTTGAATACTGATATACCTATACATATGTATTTTTATTTTAAGTATGTTAAACATTAGTATTTTATGTAGATTTATGGTTACTTAGGTGACCTGTTTTGATTTTGTTACATTTCTTTTACATGCGCAATGGCTAAATTATTATTATTTTTTACAACAACTTTACAATAATGTCTTTGTTTTTGTTCTGAACATCTGTTCAATATATATTTTTAATTATTTTATCCTTTTTCTTTTCCTTAATTTCTCCTTGTTTCACTTAGGCTTGACAGCTCGGTCTAGTCATTTGATGCATATTTTTGCATTTTTTTAAATTATTATTATAATAGTTAATTAAAGTTTATTATTTAAATATAATTTTAGTGTATAAGCTTTAGGTTTGATGTAATTTTTTCATACGAATTAGGTCTATTCCTTTTCATTTTTAATAGTATCTGATTTTTATAGTTATAATTGGTAATTTATATAAATAAATTATAATTGAATGTTTTTTTAAGAGTCCATAGTTAACAAACTAACTTGCTTCCGACAAGTTTGTCTTGATGTTATGTCCTCACTAGTATTATATGCATGGTATTCGTAAAATAAGTTGGAAGATAAGCAGATCATTAATGCAATAACAACGGCTTATGCCATCTCATAATCAAAACATTAGATTTTTTATAGTACACACAACCTGTGGCGTAGGAAGGTCGAGAAAGTTGGGGGGGGGGGGGCTGAAACTCCCTGTTCCTACGCCAATGCACATAATAATCGAAATACAATTTTTTTTTATAGTACACATAGTCCTCTTTTTACTATACTTTAAAATTTTATCTAATTTTATTGTTTAATTTAGATGAATGTAACCACTGCGATAAGAATGCGGTATGCACGAACGGGCATTGTATATGCGCGAAAGGTTTTGTTGGAGATGGCTTGGAATGTTGGCGTGAGTTTTTTTTATTTTTTTATTAGTTTTACAAAAATATAGAAAATAAATTTTAATGCATCCTTTTTGTTTGTCAATTTTTCTTTATAAATTTTTAAAATTTTGTTTTAGCATTTTCATCTGCTGATAGTGAGTGGAATTGCAATCCGAATCCGTGCCAAAACGGAGGCACATGCAAGAATGGTCGCTCACACTGCGTGTGCAGATTAGGTTATGTGGGAATTTTTTGTGAAAGTGAGTGTCAAATTGCTTTTATTTTTAATTAAATTTAATTGAATCTTAACATACAGCTGTAACTTTATTTTTTATATAGAATATTGCCCTCCGTCTGTTCATTTGAGCTTTGATTCCAAGAAAGACAACTTTGTTCAAGACGAATCTGGAAACGAAAACAACGCTGTTTTAATGAACGGCGCTAAAGTAGTTTATGAGGGTGGCAAATGTGACTCTGGCGTGTCACTCTCCGGTTTGTGCACCGTCTATTTGTTGTTTTTTTAATTAAAATTTTGGAAATCTCAGCTATTTTTATTTTTTTATTACAATGTAAAAACTATACGTTGATTTTCAGGCGGTGATATTTTGTTTGATGGTGAGAAATTTAAAAACAAACCTGTCGACGCGATAACAATGGCTCTCTGGATAAAATTGGATTCCACATCCGGAATCCAATCTGTTTTTGATACAGTTGGAGGAAAACACTCTACTCATCGTGATGGCCAGTATCACGTGGAAATTGACAACGGAAAAATTCGTTGGTTCCATCGTAATGAGTACCACATGACTATTTTTAGTGTTGTTACTAAACCAATTTTGCAAAATAATGTTTGGACTCACATAGGAGGTACCTACAATGCAGCCAAAAGGGAAGCTAAGGTAGATTAAGTAAATTTTATAATAACAATAACTTTAAATCGATTCGCTTTTAAATTAGGCTGCAAATTATCTCTGTTATTTTTTGATTAATCAATGGATTATTTAATATATAAACATTCATAGCTATTTCTGAACGGCGACTTGGTTGGTATTGACAATCACACATCTATATTAAGGAACCTTTCACAAGATTGGGAAACCAAAACGGGCATTGGTAACAAAAACATTTTTTATATATATGTTTTAAAATTTGCTGTATTTTTAATTTTTTCTAAAGTTTCTTATTAACTCGTTAAGGTAAACACGAGCATCCGTTCGGTAACCGACTACTTCGTGGAATGATAGATGAATTTTACATATTTTCATGCGAATTGCCTAGAATTGAAGTACTTGTTTTAATGCATCACTGCAAAATTTATTGGAGTGAGTATACTGATATGAATATATACTTTTAATATATTCATTACCTTATATTTTGAGATCGTCGTCAATTTATTTTCAACTTATTATTCGTTATTTAGAAAATGACGAAAGAAAGAAAAAACCAACATTAGTTCGCTCTAATCCAATACTTTTTTATAATGGTGACTCATCTGTCCATCATGATAACTATGGCTATGTGACGAAAGAATCAAATCCATCTGTAAAAATTGAAAGGATATCTTTTAGCAATAAACCAGTTACAGCTGAAGTCACTGTTCCGGGACAGGCTAGGTATAACATTCCAACACACATGGATTTAAGTAGACCAGAGCTAGGAAGCACTGAAATATCTGGATATAAGAACATATTGCCTAATGGACCGTCTGCATTGTATAGTGAGATGCGTGAATTGCTACAAAATGAAGGACTTCTGGATCAAGATAAACATGGGCAACTCTTAAACATAAATGAGCAATCTCTTCGCGATATTGAGAAAAAATTAAATATTAAACTCAAACCTAATATAAAATCTAGATACAGCCATGCTCCTATCATTAGAAATGATAACCATGAGCTTCCATTTAGTCCTCATGCATATTTTAGTGTAGCAGATAATATTGTTGGTGTTTCAAGGTCAACGCTTCCAGAGAATCCTGACGATATTTCAAACGTAAATATAGCCGGACCGACCGCATTTATGTTCAATCACGAAAACACGCCTCAAACTATAGGTATTGAAACGGAAAGATCAAAACAACCTTTTGTTTTAAGCAATTATAAAGCCAAACCTGATCCTAGGTGGTTCCAATGGCAAAAAGGGCTGGCAATGGTTAGTGGTGGCACATACACAAATACTCATTCAAACACTCTTCAAAGAAATGATCCAGGAAATGTTAATGCTAATACGCATGTTTCTTCTAGCCAAGGTGCAAAAACTGGAACAAAGATTTCTAGTTCATCGCCTGATCAGCCACCTCAACAATTAGTATCTAGCAGTCATCCTTTTGTTCAACTAAAACATCTGCTACCTGTTTCAAGTCACGTTTTTCCACAGCAGAGTTTTACAAATCAGCAGCTACATAGTTCTTATAACACGTATAATCCTAATACGCAGAGTATAAATAATCATCTACAACAGCAACAAATACCTCGGGAGTTTGCAGCGATGCGAGATTTGATAATGCAGTACCCGCATGCCCCATGGCAACATGCACCACAACAACCTCAAAATCCAATTAAATTTACGCAGCAAAGTCATCAATGGGGATACGGTAATGGCCAAGGAAACGGAAATGGAATCGGAACTCCAAGTGCAAGTGGATCAGGTGGAGGATGGGGTGCGGGAGGCCCTCTGAGTCAGAATATGAATTTACCTGCTTGGTCTGGTAGTGGCGATCCTCCGCATTCAAAAGATGCACCTAAAAGAACACTAGATCAACAACTTCCTCCTAATGCACGTGAATTGTGGAATCAATTTGTTGCTGCTTCGAAAAGGCAATCTCAGTCTTCGACTCATGTTTATAATACAAATGTTGCTCAATCTGGCATTTTAATGAATACACAGTCAGTTAATAGTGGCAAGAACGTGAAAGTTCAAAGTCATCAGTATGGGTTTGGTAATGGTAACGGTGACGCAAATGGGTATGGTAATCCAGGTGGATCGGGTACTGGAGGTGGTTGGGGTGCCGGTGGACCTACTTATCAAAATACGTGGCTACCTAATCAACAGAAACCACGGCAACCTCCTTTACAACAAAAAAGTACGATTCACAGCTCTTCGCTACAATCTGCGTTAGTAACCAGCTTCACGGCACCTTGGCTAGTAAAAACAAATAAGCAGATGCAAAACACTCAAACTGATAATTACGGTGTCCCGAGTGCAGTTGTAAATGCTAAGAGATCGTATGTTCCAAGTGCCGAAAACTTTGGTTTACGTCAAATGAGGCGAAATAATTTAGCAGAAAACTATGTTCCATTAAATAGTGAAAACATGTCCGGCGAGTTATCTAAATACGATACACAGTTTAAAAAACCCACCCAGTTTTCAAGTTATTTAGAAAAGTATAAAAAAAGCATAATTCCTAATTTAAATAATTACGCGTTATACGATTCACATGAAATTAAGCAAAAAACGAACTACGAGTTGCACAACCCAGTTTTGACAAACTCTTATGAGGATTATTACAAAAACCAGCATTTAGTTCAAAACGTCAGAAAAGTGGTTACAAAACCTCTTCCAGATACTTACTTTAGAAATTTATCTTCAAGTCCAAAATCTTTTGTCAATCAACCACCTAACATTTATGAAAACTTTGATCCAAACTTCGAAGCCGCCAGAGAGTACATGAATTCTCACGTGACGTTGGCAAAGTTTTCGTCTCCTTTTTCAAGTTTTCCTGTTTTAAATTATAAATATGAGCCCTTAAAGACTTATTTAATGAGTCCAAATATTAATGTTGAAAACAAACAGCTTTTATCTTTAATACAAAGAAACCCAAAATCTCAAATAAGCAGACCCTTGATTTTAACAGCTAAACGCAGAGAAAACATGCCGTTTATACACGGACCTTTTAATATAAACAATAAAAATAAACAATTTTTTCCTCCACAGACTGATAATAATAAAGCTTATAGCTTAATTAAAAGTGGAGATGATCGGTTGGTTCAGTCAGATACAGGAGCAAGTTTTGTTTCAGTAGACTTTCCTCGATTATCAAATAGTGAAAAATTGATGATGATGAAAAAGAAGCGAAAGAAGCGCAGTGAAACGTCAAAGAGGTCACTAAGTTCAATTCGTTAAGTATATAGGGAATTAAAATTACACAAATCTGAGTCATGTTGAATGTCATTTTAATAGTGCATACATGTAGATAGGTACTGATTTCGTAAAACTGACGTCACTAAAAATTTAAAAGAATTGTTTAATATTAAATGAAGAATGTTTAACTATTCTTAGTTAGATATACATATTTAAAGACCACGTGACAAATACGATTAAATTTACAAGTCGCCGTTGATTTCATTACAATAACGCAATTAAATGTTTAAAAGTGAAGAAATTGTTTGTATTTGTCAAGTTTGCTAGACTAATTACATATTTTTATGTCTTTGTTATCGTAAAATTTATAATAAATTTTGTGTTTACTGGACTGGAACAGTCTGCTAGCCTTTCACCTCTCTTACACTTGAAGTTATTTTAACTTTATACAGTTGATTTTTACAAACTTTTCAAATAAAACACAATATTCCAAATCTGGCATTCTTATATAACAACTTTTTTTTATTTTGGCGGACATTTTAGTTAGTTTGATGCGGCTTTTGGAAGGACCTTTTTACGCAATCATCAAATAAATAGAACTCATTGAAGCATGCACAACAGTTGTCATTTATTTGTAAAATGTATTTTGTATAATGTTTATTACCGCAATTATTTTTTTACTTCGCACATTTTTGTTGCTTTGACATAAATCTTAATAATATATTTTTCATTTATAACATTGGAGTTTTTTCCTTAGAGTAATACATGTTTATAAAAATGCTTTAAGTTTAAAGTCTTTCTTTTTGCTAATTGATAATGTTTATTTTTTTAAGAATAGAGTTTCGTTTGGTTTTAAAGTTCACTATTTTTCAAATTGACCGCCAGGTTGAAACTCTCCCCACTCCTTTTTTGCTTTTTTTTCTTCCTTAGTTTGATAATAGTCAGCCGTTATGGTATACCGTTAACATTTATTAATTTTATTTACAAAAAAAACACATATCGTCGGGGAAACTTTATTTTAAAACTTTATTTATTTTTTATTTTAACTTTTTGGGTTCATTTCAGTAAAAAGAGTATTATTCATGTTTTTTGTAATCTCAACAATAAATATTTGGTGTTAAAATTAATAATATCCAAATATAGTAGCCAATGCTAGTTACGCGGATTTGCACTATCCCCGACGATATAACAAATAAATATATAACACAAAATATATTAGTGTTACTGATTGTTCAAATTAAAATTCACTACAGCAGATTTTAGCTTTTCGCCATAATTTTCGTGTCCTATAGTTCTTTTATAGTTTACCCAAGTTTTTTTAAATTTTTGGTGAACAGCTTCACCACGTGGTTCTGCGTAGTTTCTTATGTTAATATGTATTAACATAATACGTATTTCCTACGTTCTATAAAGGGAAGAAAATGACACACTAAAATATGTATTTTCCAGGAAACTTTCAAATCGTAGTCAAAAATATTCTTTGCATATATTTGGAGACTAAAAAAAGAACGTTTAAAGTCTTCAATTTTAACAGAAATATCTGTACCCATTTCTAAACCAAACACTGCTGATTATACTAATGAAAACTTACGCAAACAATTAATATCGTGATAAAAAGAATTTTTTTTTTTGTAATTAGCTTTGTAATTACTATTTCTACTGTTATATATTTTTTTATTTATAATTTTTTTTTCTTTTTTTTTTTAATTTGTTTTTTTTTATTTTATCACAATCATTTTTACAAACTAAGAATATGCAGCTTTGCTTGCCGTTTAAACGACGATATTCCATTTATGTCTTTTAATTTTTGATTTTTTAAGTTTTTCCATATTTTGGGAACCTGTGACATAATTGAAAATTCAGAACCCGGGTTATAGTTTCTTTAATATAATAGATAAAACAACGTTTCACACCAGAATCTTCAAACATTTCGGATGAAGAATAATGATTTTTTGGATCAAAAACATTAATGATAACTTTAAGGAAGTTTTGACCACCATCTATAGATATTCTTATTATTGCATCAGGAGTATCAATACTTTTTTCATCAATTATCTCTAACAACTATTCCGTCACCGTCAAGGAATTATTCAGTTTTACATTTTATATATATAGAGTATCCTCTCATTTTAATATTAATGTTTGATTCTACACTAGTTAGATTACTGAGTAAAGTAGAACACAGTTTTTTTTGTTTTGTTCTTACGTTCGATAGCTCCATAATAGTTTTGAATGAAACTTGATTTACTTTCTTTCTTTTTGATTTATTTTCATTTACTCCAACTGTAACAGAGAGAAGATTTCCACCAGTAGACAACACGAACTGCTCTCCACTTAAAATGTTTTCAGGTTCCATTTTAGGTTTTAACAATCCAGAAGCTACTTACTCTGCACTTTTATATCCAAGCGATTCACTAATTTCGATGATATTCTTAACAGTCTTACTTTTGCAATAATCATGAGAAAATCCTCCACCTAAAATTAATAGTGAGAAATTTAAAACTATTTTAACAACAACTTGAAATTAAGTAAAAAACAGTACATTGAATCAAATTGTAATGTAACATAAAGAGAATCAAACTTCAATTAATCGACAATTAATTAATCGTTGTTTAAATTATAAAATCATAGTAACATACCAAAATTCAAATAGAAGATTTTCTCATTCTTATTTGAAAAATTCAATTCTGGCTCAACATCACGGTCGTTTAGATGTGGAAAGTTATTATACGCAAGCGCAGTGTCAAATTCAAATATTATAATTTTAAAGATGGTGACGGCCTTTAGATACCAAAATTTTTTCTGAGTAGCAACAATATTTTTAAAGTTTTACTTAGTAGTTATTATTTGCATATTCTTGATAGAATGAAATAATAATAAAGATAATTGAGTTGTTGATTCAAAAATGATAAAAACAATATAAAGATGTTTAAATATATAAAAAACTGTGATTCTCTGCTACATTTATCTGACTGTTAAAAGCGTGGTTTGTTTACATTTTCAAAACTGTTTTTCTAAAAATCTGAGCTATACAATTTAATAATTTTTACTTTTTTATTTCAAATAGTCTTATCTTGATTTGAAATTGTTTTCAGATCTGAGTATTCAATTTTTTTCTGAACTAAAATAGAATTCACCCAACACTACTTTTGTAGATGTATGATACATTTATATTAAGGTATATAGCTAATATATATATATATATATATATATATATATATATATATATATATATATATATATATATATATATATATATATATATATATATATATATATATATAATTATATGTGAATGATTATAATATAAATTATAATATATAATTATATGTGACTATACTATAAATGCAAAAAAAAAAAAGGCTAAAAAGTTCACAAGTTACTTATAAAGTATGTAAGATAAAATATTTATATATAAGTTAAATATAAATGTATTATGTTACATAGTTTATATAGCATTTAGTTTATATTTGTTTTTATAATATAGGTAATATAAACTATAAATATAGTTTTTATAATATATCATAATCATTTAACTATATATTATATACAATTTGTATCCAATAAATTTGTGTGCATATTATATTACAACACGATTACAACAATTGTATGCAAACACAATTAATGCATATAAATCAAACTCTGAAAAATAATAAAATATTAAAAATAATAATATATGTCCAAGCATAGTATACTATGTAATACAATACAGTATATATATATATATTTTCTAATGTATATATATATATATATTTTCTAATGTATATATATATATATATATATATATATATATATATATATATATATATATATATATATATATATATATATATATATATATATATATATATATATATATATATGATACATACACCATTGGCCATTAATTAGAGAATTCTTACTTATATATCCTGTTTGCTTAAAATTACTTTAAAAACTAGTTAGCTTTTTAAATATTTTATTATTTCTAATTAATAAGTATCGTGTATTTTATTTAATGGACAAGTTGTTACCATAAAATTTCATTTGTATCCCTAATTATATGTAACTTTATAACATCGACTATATTTTTTTAAATTTTTTTTGTTCGTTAAAAATTAATGCTTACTGCTTTATTTTTAAAATTAATGTAATATTTTTTTAAATAATTTAATTTGATTTTCATTAGCATTTATTAACTCTAAATTTCTAATTTTGAAATAGTACTGATGAAAACACAAAGAAATTAGATATTGAAAAAGCCTCATAACGAGTGAAGTAATACAGCATGAAACTCCAAAATCATGGTTGAGATTATCTGAAAAAACATGTTACAAATCTATTTTTATTTAAAACCAAGTGTTATCTCCTCGTCAAATAGCCAATAAGTTAAATATTGAATATTCACATATTTGAAAACCTTATACTGAAACAGATGACATTATGGGTCTGGATAATCTGGTGGGCAACACAATGAGATAAACGTTTTTAATTAATAAAATTAATTTGCTTGATGAAACACGACAGCAAGTGGTGAAATGTTATATTCTCAGACAAAATGAATGTTGAGGTAGATATGCAAAAATATGTTATTGCTTTGTGTTCTGCTATGGCGATCACCTCAAGAGTAATTTGATTTGAATTGTACATGAAAACCAACCAAGCAAGGCAATGGCAGTGTAGACTTTTGGGCCTACATGAATTATGCAGGACTTAAATGCTATTAATTATTTGAAGGTTGACTTAATGCTGATAGAAACATTGAAATTTTAGATAATTGCCATCTTCAATCCCTATTTAAGAAAGGTGGATATGCAAAATATTGAAATGCTTTTTTTATGGTTTTTCTTTGGTAAATTATTGTTTTAATATATTATTTGAAATATACACTTAACTTTAGTCCGATTGTTTTTTTAAATTAAGATAAAATGTTTAATTATTATTATTTTTTTTGGTATCTAAATCAATATGTTTAGATCTTTTTTTGGATTTTCATAATGCATATAGATTTTACTTGTATTAAAAAAATTAAAATAAAAGCATTTTAGTTTTCAATTTAGTTGATTTTGAATTTAATGTTTTATAAAAAAAATCGTGACAAAAACAATGTGTGCTCTAATTTAAGGCCTAAAAAATCTTACCTGCCTCAAAAAACTAATTTAATATCATGTCGTGGATATATATATATATATATATATATATATATATATATATATATATATATATATATATATATATATATAATATATATATATATATAATATATATATATATATATATATATATATATATATATATATATATATATATATATATATATATATATATATATATATATATATATATATATATATCAGGCCCCTGCTAAGCCTAAATATTTTAAATCAAATCAAATAAGTGATTCAAGACTTGACTCAAAAAATCTCTATTTATTTTAATCAAATCAACCTGCTTTTATTAATAGTTTATAATGAAATTAGCTCAAGGTCATATAATTATAAATTTTCACAATCTTGAGTAATAACATTATTAGAATGTTATTACTCTAATAACATGAAGTTGTCTTAGAAATTTCAAGATACATTAAAAATTTTTTTTTTTTAACTAAATTTAATTATGGTCATGCTTTGGTCAATTCTAAATGTTTTGCCGAAAATTTCATGAATTGTTAACAAAAATTCCCCTACAAGCTAACTGCCTCTGCCAAAACATGATGACAATGACTTGATAAAATGCTTAGTTTCTCTAATACTAAATAAACCTTCAGTTTTTCAATTTAATTTATTTGTATTATTGTGCCTAAAAGTTATGACCATATAAAATTAACA